TTACTTGAGGACTGTGCAGACCTGATTAGTTTTTGGGTAAATATTTGTGCATATTAATCATCTTATTAGCATAATTAGTTAATTTTCACCTTTTCACCTGATATCTCAAGTACTAATCATCACATTTCAATGAGACTTGCGACATAGATATTCTAGGACTATGCAGAGACCTGATTAATTTTGGGATAACTAATTGTGTCTATTAATTACCTAATTTGCATAATTAGTTAATTTTTTGCTGTTGTATGGCTGTTGCACTGATGTCTAAAAACCACTCATTGGATTTCAATGAAACTTTTAAAGAGTACCCATCACATTTCAATGAACCTAAGACTATGCACCATGCTTCTTAATCACCTAATTAACATAATTAATTAATACTGATATCTCAAGTATTGATCATCACATTTGAATAAAACTTGGTCCATAAATGCTTGAGGACAATAGACAATCTGATTAATTTTGGTTTAAAATCTGTTCATATTAATTCTCTAATTAGCATAATAACTAATATTTTTTTGGTTCTAATCACATTTCAATGAAACTTGGTACATTGTGCAGACCTTATTAGTTTTACACTTAAATCTGTTCATATTATTTACCTTATTTGCATAATTAGTTTTCAGCTATTCCATCAATATCTCAAGTATAAGTAATTTTGAATTAATTTTTAATGTGTCTCCAATACTCTAATCTCAGCACTCGGGAGTTCTTTCTAAGCTTTCTTTGATTGTGAACCTGTGATTTCCAAGATAAACAAAGAAATAGCCAAATTCTGACAGATCGTCATCACAATACTGTGTACAATTTTTTTCATAACTAGGAGTGGAAGACACACGAACATGGTTTGTACCACAGCTGTTAACATCTTGTAGTAAACTTAAAATCACATCTATATCTGGGGGACAGCATCATACAGTGTTACTTGATGATAACGGTAAGTAGTCATTGGTCAGTTTCGGTCACATGACTGATGGCGCAAGTTATGCTTGGTCAGCTTCAGGTTCAAGTTGTTAAATGAGTTTTTGATTGGTCTGATTCATCAAAGAATGTGGGGCATTTGCTACAAAAACTAGCCACAACACATGGTATATTGATTGTTTCTACAAGTCTAGGGAAGTCAACAACTGTCACCACAGTGTTCTCCCCAGGATGTAAACAGCGTGGCGGTCCCGCCACAGTGCTTCGATTTGCCGCCACACCGGTCTGACACCGCCACGGTGATTAGCAAGACCGCCACAGTGCTTTTTTCATTGGGGATCTCATCACGCTGGTCGGCCCGACCGGCACTCAAAACTAGCGACCACCACGGAAACGCGTCCAACTATTGTCATATTGTTATTATACTTACGTACCGACCGACAAGCATCCTGCCAGTCGTGGATAATAATTTGTAAACAATAGAAATAGTCGTGCGATGTGGTATCGGCTTTAAACAATACAAGTCAATTTTGTAAAATTAGCACCTCTTTGTTTGTAAGTAAATACTTTCTGTCGATAGACGCAGTCTTTAGATTGAAAGCTAAAATTCATTCAAAATCAATTCCACCCCGATGTAACATGGGCAAAGCGGAGTTCACGATCAGTTTACGCTACTCAAGAAAAAACAACGTGTTTATTGCGTGATTGGGTAAAATACATTTGAACTGTTATCATCGTGAATCATGTAAAAATTCTTCTTTCAAGACTTCTTTTACCTTTCAAAAATTGCTAATCACCTCTTTCGAAAACCATTATGCAGTTTTCATCTGAAATCCATACCAACACATCGTGCTACGACATCGCTTTACTTCCGCAATGTAATTTTTATGATCACGATCATTCGGAAAACTTCGGGTTCTACCGGCATTACCATGTGGCATTCTGATTGGTTAATGGCGTTTTTGACCCACCGGGTCAAAGGATACATGCGGTCAACTAACGCGTCACAGCTATCATGGCGGGTCTGTGTTTTTCACACAGTGATCGAGTGATCAAAAATTTCTCTCGATAAAACTAGTTCAAATTTTACGTTTTTTTCATATAAAAAAAAAGTATTTAATTTTTGCATGGCATCATGACTGAGTTCGAAGAGAAATTATTGGTATAACCGGTGTATAACATCGCAAAGTAAGTTACATTGTATGTCACGTCGTAACTTTGATGATTGTTTGGAAGTATTATTTGTTCGTTCATTTACTGTAAATGTAAAGGTTGTAGAAGCTGATGGTCGGAATAATAACCAGCAATCCGCCAAATAATTACGTCATCGATTTTTTGAAGGAGAATTTTGAAGTAAACAAGATCATGAAAGTCTTGAACATAATGCTGGCTGGAACGTTTCAGATGAGTTTCATTTAACCTTTTACAATTTATTTGTTTCTTTTTAGTCTGCAGCATTTGCATTTCGAGAATGTTTCATTTTGAATGTTTCATTGAGAATGTTGTAAAACGTAATTTTTTGACTCCCAAAAAAAATATTTGCACAGTGATGGAGCTCATTAATATTACAAAAGTGCCCAAAATAAAAGTGTTTATAACACTGTGTAAAGCAAATAAATATCTGCCACTTTGTTTTTCAAAATATATGTTGTTTATTGTGTGGGTGTAAATATGCTTT